TTCATATATGTATATATATATATATGTGTGTGTGTGTGTGTGTGTGTGTGTATATATATATATATATATATAACACATTATATATGTATAATATAATGTTAAAAAAGACAGTTTTATTAAAAAATCATTAGCTCTGTAAATTTCCAAGATCATCACATTTAAGGTACTGGGCGATCCAGGATAGAGAGCATTGACGTTTCTTGGACTGAAGATAGAAAAAAACCAAACCTTCCCACTCTCCTGTGGATAAAGTTACAAAGCTGAAGCTAGTTGTGTCTGGAAGAGACAGCGAGCGTGTGGTCTTTGCAGAAATCATCCCACCAGCCCACCGCCAAGACCCAAGTGCTGGACTAGGGGCCAAACAAAACCAGACCTGTACAACAGGGCAAGGGTGTGGACGTTTGAACTGCCAAAGGAAAAGAATTGAGAAAATTGTTAAAAGAGATGTAATTGTATTTCAGGGGCAGATAGAATTAGAAGGAAAAGTTAACCCTGCAACAGCTGAATCCTTCTCCTGTTTTCTTTTTTATTGTTTTAAAGGAATTACTTTATTTAACTTTATTGATTCATTCTTTTTTTGTTTGTTTGTTTAATTTGACCAGAGAGGGACAGAATGAGCGAGAGAGAGGGAAGGAGGGAGGGAAGGAGGGAAGGAGAGGCAGAGCAGGGGTAGGGAGAGAAAGAGAGAGAAAAAGCAAGGCACCAGGTCCAGGACTTGAACCCTGGTCGGACATGTGGGAGTCCAGTGCCCTTAACCACCATGCTACCTGCGGGCCCCCTTCTGCTGTTTTCTTAACCTACACCTGAACTGCTTTGATTTGAAAGACACAGAGTTGAAACCACCTCTAATTTTAAAAGTTGTCAGCAGCCAAGGAAGTTTCTCAGCTTCAAAATCTTGAAACTAATCTAAGGATCCCCTGAAAATATCATTATTCCCATTTCATACCTATGAAAAACTGAGACCAATAGGTTTAAGACTCAAAGGGCTAGAGAGACAGAAATATCCTTTTTATTTAATAAATATTTTAATTTTATTATCATTTTAAAAATTTGCTATAGGGCACATGCACTCACCAGAGAGACAGGAAGAGAAAGAAATGGAAAGTGAGAAAGCAAGCCACCAGGTCTGCAACTCGAACCACGGTTGGCCCTGTGGGAGTCCAGGGCCTTAACCACCACGCCACCTGCTGGCCTCAACACAGAAATATCTTTAGAAATCAGATCATTCTTTCCCAGCCTGTGGTTTACAAGGTTTAACTATAGAGTTTTTTTTTTTTTTTTTAGTTGGCACAGGAAATTGTAAAACACTGTCTTTTTCTTGAGAGAACTATGGTTTCCTGGTTCA